TTATTATTATTATTATTATTATTATTATTATTATTATTATTATTATTATTATTATTATTATTATTATTATTATTATTATTATTATTATTATTATTATTATTATTATTATTATTATTATTATTATTATTATTATTATTATTATTATTATTATTATTATTATTATTATTATTATTATTATTATTATTATTATTATTATTATTATTATTATTATTATTATTATTATTATTATTATTATTATTATTATTATTATTATTATTATTATTATTATTATTATTATTATTATTATTATTATTATTATTATTATTATTATTATTATTATTATTATTATTATTATTATTATTATTATTATTATTATTATTATTATTATTATTATTATTATTATTATTATTATTATTATTATTATTATTATTATTATTATTATTATTATTATTATTATTATTATTATTATTATTATTATTATTATTATTATTATTATTATTATTATTATTATATTATTATTATTATTATTATTATTATTATTATTATTATTATTATTATTATTATTATTATTATTATTATTATTATTATTATTATTATTATTATTATTATTATTATTATTATTATTATTATTATTATTATTATTATTATTATTATTATTATTATTATTATTATTATTATTATTATTATTATTATTATTATTATTATTATTATTATTATTATTATTATTATTATTATTATTATTATTATTATTATTATTATTATTATTATTATTATTATTATTATTATTATTATTATTATTATTATTATTATTATTATTATTATTATTATTATTATTATTATTATTATTATTATTATTATTATTATTATTATTATTATTATTATTATTATTATTATTATTATTATTATTATTATTATTATTATTATTATTATTATTATTATTATTATTATTATTATTATTATTATTATTATTATTATTATTATTATTATTATTATTATTATTATTATTATTATTATTATTATTATTATTATTATTATTATTATTATTATTATTATTATTATTATTATTATTATTACATATTACAGGCCGAAAAGGATGTATTTTTGGTGTATGGACAGGTCCTAATTATCCACTTAAAGTGGAATATATAATAAAAAGAGACGATTTCTGGTGTAAAAATATGGAGGAGAAATTAAAAAAGTTTTATATAAACTGTATGTTGCCAGAATTGGTAGATCCAAGGCATAATCGGGGAATGACATTAAGAGAACCTGATTACATCTTAGAAGCTATTCAAAAATTAAAAAATAAAAAACAAAAATAATTACCTCCAAAAAGTCAAATAACATTAATAGTAAGATGTTTCTTCAAAGCCGCTATTTATTCTAAAAGTATTTTCTTTTAATATTTTTTATTTTAATCTAGGTACTGTTAAAACGCTATAATACCTATATTTATTTGCAGGTCTTCTGTGACTAATTTATTTGTAGTACTGGGTCCAATTAAGTTACCAAAAAATAATAATCGATCATTTTAAATACATTTCTTATGCCTACTTTGTAAAAAATAATATCGAGCTGTTTAGTCAAACGCCCTGCTCTTCACAAAAACAAAATTAAATTATTTACATCATATCTAAAAATGAAAAAAAAAATTGATGTACAGGGTTCATAATCAGTGGCGGCTTGTAGTAATTTAAAATGGGTGTTCACTTTTTCAATAATTTCATTACATGTAAGTTTGGATCAAAACTTTGTACAAGAGCCAATATCGCTGTTTTTTTTATTATTTGAGTTTGCATTAAGTGTAGTTATTATTATCAACATCATACTGTTTTCAAGCACTACAATTATTAATAAATGAATATTTTAGTTAGTGTGATATTTGTTTTGTTTTTAATACGTTGAAAGCCACCTATATACATTAATAGTTAGTAAACTGACTTTTGTATTTGTGAGCGGCACGCCAATTAATATGTTTTTTGACAGTTTGCAGGATCTGTTGGCGTGTTGTCTTCTCTTTTTAGCTATATGCATTCGGCATATCGTCTCACTCGTGTTAGGCTTACTCATCATAATGCGCCACAGACACAGTATACTTAGGTATACTGTGACACAGAAGACAATGATGTACAAAAAAAATATAGATTAACATGTATGAAAATAAAAATAATAAAATTAAATTTATATTTTTGTAATCATGTAATATTAAAATAATGTGTTTTTATGAAATTTAACTGGGTGTTCACTACATAAATAAACCAATGGAGGAACCGCCCCTGATCATATTATATTACACCAATTATGGCGTTTGTTTGTCCTTCTATAATATTTACTTATTTTAAAAGCAAAAACTCTTTTTAAAATCGTTGACATCAAAAAGAGAAAATATGTATTTATATCTCAAAGTTAGCAACAACAAAATATGATAACATCATTCAACGGCAGCCATCATGAAATTCGGACCAATCAAAGCCGGATAGTAACAAAACACTTCGGCTCTGTTCCCTCAGTTTTTAAAATATTATTTCTATAAGAATATATTTTTGAGTTTCAGTCAATATATTATATAGAACGAAATAATTCTGAATTTCATTCTCTTAAAACAATAGCATAAGTTGCAAAATACTATTTATTATATGTTAAATGGTGTAAATTAATATATTTTATATATTTGTACAAAACGTTTAGTGGGAACATTAGTGACGCAACTCAAAAATACTCATTTTCGACTTATGTACATCAAAAGATTGCTTAATGTAGCCCGCAACTGGTACATAAATGGCGAAATTATAGTTCTACTATATCCTCGGTGGCGGTAGTCGTCAGTAATGCCTGGTATTTTTATTTTTAACTTCGAACGAAATACAGACTAATGTAACATCGTTAATATTCATTTACTCGAAAAAAAAACTTGTTACATTACGACTTGAAAGATATTTAAAATTTAGAGAAAAAAAAATCGGTAAGATAGTTCCAAACGTATAGCCAAAAAACAATTCGTACACACTTCAATTGCGATTATCTCAGATCGCCATTTTCGGAGTTAGGTCACTAATGTTCTCACTAGGCGAAAATAAAATATTAAGTCATCTTCTTGCTTTATTTATTATATGCTGAAAAGAGGGCATCCACGGAAATATCTTTCTGTAAACAATTGTACAGTCTACAAATTATCAGATCAATACAACAGCAGACAGCAACAAAATCAGGAAAAAAGTAAAATTATTTTCTCCACGTTACATTCACAGATAAGTCAGAAAACATGTAACTTATTAATATAATAAGAAACATTTGTTAAATACATTATTTATAAGGCTGATTTATAGATTTTATTATATTAGTAGCTTAGTTGATATTCTTTGAAAATGAATTATTTTAGAAAATATAATATATATCTACTATACAAATATAATTCTTCTACCTAATTTTTTCTAATCAAACTATGTTTAAAATATATTGAAACATTGCAAATTCTATGTTGAAAACAAAATTATCTCATGTAATAAAATTTTCCTCTTCGCACCAACCGATCAACAATAAATTTAAGTTCGATCCTATGTACCTTTATTCCGTATCTGGCCAAATTTCAATACTAGGTAGACGAGGAAGGCAACAGCACCCATCCTTCGGTACGAACACGGAACGTCTTGAGAGGTGATATCGTAATCATATTTTTCAATAATTTTTATATCCGAAATTACTTTGCTATTTTAATGATTACGGCTTAATATTAAGTCCAATTTTAAAAATTATTTTTTGATCTTATTAAGAAAAAGATTTACTACAAATTAACATTAATCGTTCGAAAAATAATACATGTTTGATAACGTTAATTCTCTATTAAAAGTTGTCCTTTTTTAAACAAAATTAATAAACTTTATAATTTTTTGTAGACAAAACGGACCATTTTTTCAAAAAAGTATGAAAACCCAGGGCTAGTGCCACTTATTCTCTTTGCACATAAAAAAATATATGGTATTATCTTCAAAAGTGTGTCTTCTAGGATTAAAACAGAATGCCTATTTTTAATGCAAATTTCCTGCTGTTGTCATCGGAGCAATAACTCTTAAAATCTCATTAGTTGAGAATAAATACATTGTTTTTTCCATGTGCTGAGCAACTTCAACAAAATTTTGAGAATTGGCAATTTTTTTAGCATATATTTTTTCTATATCACTAAAATTTCCTGCCTATCAGAGATTATTCGATTATCGCTTTTTATAATTTTGTCAATTTTCATTTCAGGCTTAATGTTGTTACACATACTTTTAACACATTTCCACAGAGTTGAATATGTATTTTTTCAATTAAGTTATTTAAATAAGATTTTTTTTGATTTTTGTATTAATTTAGAAAGATTATTTTTATAATACGAGTATAAATTTTTTGCGTTCATATCATTTGGATTATGTTTAATAAATAAATATAAACGATTCTTTTCATTTATGGATTTTAATAATCCTGCTGTAATCCACGATTTTTTATTTCTATATTTGTTTGTAATTTTTACTGATTTCATACATTTATTGATTGAATTTTTTAGAACTTCAATGAAATTTTCTGTTATAATATTTACAATCAAATGACAATCCAATTTATCGCAACAAATAATAATAATGCAAAATATAATATTATTTACAGGAACTATAGATATCATCGATTCTAAAATGCCTATGTCCTTCTTTCTCCACCTTATCCGATTATAGATTCTAATTTTATTATTATTAATATTATTGTTATTACTCTAGATTCCGTGTAATGCATAATCAGATATTCTTTAATGCGATCCGTAGGAAGCAGAAAAGAAAAGTTTCCCCTTGAATTTTTTTCCTTTCAGCACCGCTCGGTGACTGTTCGTCGAGTGAAATCTGATTGGTGGACTGTATCAAAATATTGCGGTATTGTAAAACTGATTTTGTTATATTGTAATGAATATTTACATGTATATATTCGAGACGCCGTAGTGGGGTTAAGAAAGCACTAAATAAACTTTTGACATATTTATATCGTCCGTTATATATAGGCATCGGATTGAGGGTAGTGTCAACAGTCGTTGTTCAATACTCAAGTGTCAATGATGAGCCTCCAAGTAAGTGATCCGAGTGATGTGTGGATTTATAATATAGTTTAGTGTACGATTACTTTGGGATGATAGGTTTTTAATATTTTTTTCAAATTTTTACGTTTTAAAATCATTTAAAATTAAAATCTTTTAAAAATTGAACAGTTTTTTAATAAAAAATGATTAAATTCAACGGATTTCTTCAAAATATTAATGAAATGCTTGACAACATGGCTTTAAGGTTCATTTTAACTAATTTTGACGTAAGATAAGCATTAAAAATAGTCCAATAATCAAAAAAAGAAGAATAGTGAATAACATAACCAATTTAAAATTTTACTTTTTAATTTTTTATGAGGGTTTGGAGTTCGGTCTTTTTGTTTTAATACAAAAATTAGGTCAAAAAATTGAATCAAAAAAACGTTTTTTAGTTTAAATAAATATATAAAAAAATGTTTAGATGTTATTAGTAAAACTAGAAGTAAAATTTAATATTTTTTTATCAAAAAAATTTATTAAAATTTCTTATAGATAAAAAAATGATTAAAAGTACCCCAATTGCAGTCAATATTTACCTGCAATTATTTAAATGAAATTCTAATATCCTAATATAAATAATATAAAAATCTCTTAAGGCTACTTAATCGAATAGTTTATATATTCAAATACTAGTGTCAAAAAATATTTATAACTAGATTTTACTAGAAATTTTTAAAATAGTTACAAATCCTCCATTTTATCACTAAACTATAGTCCTTAGGTTTGACCACCAGAGGCTACAATAAAATCTGAAATTAGGATTTCATCTTTTTTATTAAAACTTGAACTTTTATTGCAAAGCATTTCATAGAAAACATAGAAAGCAACGTTGTCATATGTAAAGTGTTAGATTTATTGTATTTAAAATGCAATTTTTGCAAATATATAGCATATGTAACTTTTTTTTAATTTAATTTCATAGGTATCTCAAAATGAATGTAAAAAAAAAATTTAAAAGGTTATTTTAACACAAGGTTTAAGTATTTGTATACAGGGTGTCTGTAAAAGGTCTTTACAAAAACATACCACATATTCCTTAGACCAAAATAAGTCGATTTAAGTAAAATTACCTTAGTACAAAGTTGCTTCGTTTGGGCCTTGAAGTTACAATTTTTAAATCGTTTTTCCCATATAAATTTAAAACGGCATATGCGATTTTGCTGAAATTTGGTATATTGGTAGAGTTTTATGTGGCACAAACAATTATATTAAAATTTTGTCCGATAATAATACATAGGTGTAGAACTTGATTTTTTAAATAATTGCACCTTTAAAAATTCTAGGCTAATGGAAGAAAAGGAGTTTGAGTATGAAATTTAGATTGCGCAACTCATTTACTTTAAAAAAGGTACTTTTGATAAGACTCGATTACTCTCATGGTTTTCGCTAAATTTCTGTTTTAATAATTTAGAGTGTAATAGGTTTCACAAAAATATTTATTTACAACATAATCAAAATAGAGATTTTACAAAAATTGTTCAAAATGTTCACCATTTTCACGCATACAAAGATTTATACGTCGAAGAAAATTAAAATGTATCCTTTCCATAACTTCTTCATCACCTCTAAGATTGTTTATTGCATCTTGAATACGTTGCCAGAGTTGTTCCTCATTTTCTACAGGTTCCCTGTAAACTGTGGATTTCAGATGTCCCCATAAAAAGTAATCCATCGGTGTTAGGTCTGGGGAACGTGGTGGCCAGTTTACAGGTGCGTCATTACCTCTGCCTATCCATTTATGTGGATATTGTTCATTCAAGTGGTTTCTAACGTTTAAAGAAAAATGTGGTGGAGCTCCATCTTGCATAAACCACATATCTCTCCGAAGTTGGAGAGGTAAATCTTCTAACAATTCTGGCAACGTATTTTGTAGAAAATCCAAATAATTTTCTCCAGTTAATCTTCGTGGAAGTATGACAGGACCAACAATGAAATTACCAATTATTCCAGCCCACACATTAATTTTGAATTCGTGCTGAAAATGGTTTACCTTTATTGCATGCGGATTTTCAACGGCATAAACATGTTCATTATGGGTATTAGTTATACCTATTCTTGTAAAACCCGCTTCAACGGCAAAGAGAACCTTCTTGACAAAGTTTGGATCTCTTTCTCTTTGCATATTAACAAATCGAAAAAAACCCAAACGAATTTGAGGATCATGGACTAATAATTCTTGTACTGGCTTCTTATGGTATGGATATAGCAATTGTTCTCCAAGCACTTTATGAACGACATCTTTACTTACTCCTAGTTCCCTTCCAATTCGTCTGGTGCTTAATTCTTCAACACGTTCTAAAATGTCTTCTTCAACTTCAGAAATCCTTACAAAACGTTCTCTTCCATTATCAACAGTGTGGGGAGCAAAGGAACCGGTCTCCCGAAGACGTCTCTCAACAGCAGCAAAAGTTGGGTGGCTAGGTACACGATGATTTGGAAACCTTTCAGAGTACACCCTGACACTCTTTCGAGCATTTCCTTCACAAAATCCTAATGTCAGTAACATATCGGTATATTCTGCATTGGTATATTTTACAGCCATATTAATAAACCACGCATTTGTTTTTTTAATTATTGAGTCAGATAGAACACTTTCAATCGTTAACAAGAGATTAGGTGTTAAAACTTGACAACATTTTTATTTAGATGAAACTATGGAAACCAACAATAAATGTTTTTGTATACGTATTGCAGGAAAATAATTAATATTCCTCAAAAAATCGTACATGGCAAGAATCGAGTATAAGTCTCGATTAGAGGTGTTGAAGAAGATATGAAAAAAGTACATTTTTATGTTTTTCATCGTATAAAATTTTGTCCGATAATATAACATAGGCGTAGAACTTGATTTTTTAAATAATTGCACCTTTAAAAATTCTACGCCAATGGCAGAAAAGGGGTTTGAGTATGAAATTTGGATTGGGTACTCATTTACTACAAAAAAGTACCCTTGATAACACTCGATTTACTCTCATGGTTTTGACAAAGTTTGTATTTTAATAATTATTGTTTATGTTCTAAAATTACTAAAATGCAAATTTCGGCAAAACCATGAGAGTAATCGAGTCTTATCAAGAGTACCTTTTTTAAAGTAAATGAGTTGCGCAATATAAATTTCATACTCAAACTCCTTTTCTTCCATTGGCGTAGAATTTTTAAAAGTGCAATTATTTAAAAAATCAAGTTCTACGCCTATGTATTATTATCGGACCAAATTTTAATACCATTTTTTTTCCACATAAAACTCTACCAATATACCAAATTTCAGTAAAATCGCATATGCCGTTTTAAATTTATATGGGAAAAACGATTTAAAAATTGTAACTTCAAGGCCCTCTGGGGCCCAAACGAAGCAACTTTGTACTAAGGTAATTTTACTTAAATCGACTTATTTTTGTCTAAGGAATATGTGGTATGTTTTGTAAAGACCTTGTACAGACACCCTGTATATAAAAAAAACGAAAATAAAACTCAAATGTGATCAAGACGTAAAATAAACTAAATAAACTAAAAGGTGCAGTGTTGAAATTTAATTTCTATCTCTGCTATCTTTTCTTTCGATATAATTCAATACCTGTTGCGGTATTAGCCAAAGGAGTAGCTGTTTTCTGAAGGGAAACGGTCGCTCGTAATTATGTGATATTGGCTTTTAGTTTATTTTATTTTAATTATAAATTGTATAATTGTAATTTGATTTTTTACTTAAATACCATGAGAAATATATATTTTTTGAAAAAAAAAATACTACAAATGAATAGAACTCTCCATAAAAAAATGAGGGAACAGGGGCGGCTCTCAAATAAAATATGATGTCATTTTATAGTAGAATTAGGACGGTTTTTACCCTTCCATGATTTTAGTTTGTGAAATTTTTGCTTTAAACAATGGCTTTTCATTTAAAATACCTACATACCAAATTTTATAAAAATCAAACCAAGTATTTTTGAGTTATTAAAAAAGAAAGATACATTTTCTTTCAACTTTGAATTTTGAATTTTAGCTCAATCGACTTATATTGATCTCAACAACATCAGTAGCTATATATACATGGAATTTTGGAACACCCTGTATACAGAATTTATTATTGACATCCTCGACCTTAAATCCTTGAAATTTTTAATGCGATGTTGTCGGCTCTACCGAAATTGAAAGAGTTTTCATACATCACAACATAAATAGTGATGTTTTTTGAGTGTTTTTTATATAAAAAAAGATAAATAGAATAATGATCAATATTAATTTTAAAATCAAATTTTCTCTAGAAGCAAATATTTATTTTTCTAATATCTTTATTTAGTGACATATCTAGTTACAAAGAGTTTCAGTTTTTTGTAACACGACTTTTAATTAATTTTTAAAATACATTTTTCTTAATTATCGTATTTTTTTCAAACGTATTGTATACATGAGTTTTCGGTTATGTTAAAGCCAATTATGGCCATGTTTCATTGTATCCGCAAGAGGGCGCTTTGTATTGGTTTTTATATGGATTAAAATGTCCATAACTTTTCTCAGTGTACTTCATAGCTTTTTTAATTAAAAATTGTATCCAGTGTTAAAATCCCGCTATAAAAAACCAAAAATTCTAATAAAATTGCACCTTTTTCAATCTTTTCACCAAAACAAAAGTTAATTGAAAAATTATTTGTCAATAATTTTAAGAACTGTCAATATGAATGTCACCAATGACCATGATGCAAAAACAAAATCACATCACTAAATTTTGACATTCATATTTCAGTTTCTCCCACATACTTTGATTTTCTTTTACTATACGGAGAATAGTCGCACTACGCAGCTTTCTGAGTGCCTTTTAAAAGGAGATAGAAAACTCCGCCATTTTGAACCCTTATTACGTGTTGCCTACATCTTGGCGCAATATTTTTAATAGGTGCGTTTTAATCATCCGCTTCTGCTTCGGAATTGTCGGTTTTCTTGTTTTAATCTGACAGGTTAAAACGACTAAACCGACAATTCCGGAAGCAGAA